AAAGTAAAAGAAAGAAAAGAGAAAAAGAAAAAGAAAAGAAAGTGCACTAAACTGTACTAAGAATGTTTGCCTTTTTCAGTCTGTTATCCTCCAATAACAATCTTTAGAAAGAACTATTAAAGGGGGGAGGGGAAAGAAGGTGGAAAAAATACAAGTGAGCTCAAAGTCAACAGTGCCAAGTGCTGATAAATCTGGAAGTCACAGAATAAGCTTATTATTTGTAAGAACGAAAACAAATATTATCTTTGCACATTACATTAATATTCTGTCCACGCTTATGACTTTTGATAGCCCTGAGCAAAGTAAGGGTTCACGCTCAGACTTCAATATAGTTTGAATGATTAGAGCTGCATACTCAATACACATCTGTTTCCTTTGCAAATATGTCCTAGTCCTGGACCAGTTCCACATGAATTTGATGGTTTTTTGTCTGGGCAACTAAAAGATTAAATATACCTATCATCATTAAACATTTAAACAAGTGAGCTACTGGTGTGTATTAGAAGTAGAGCTTTTTAAAGGCTACCAGAGGTTTACCACTTGTACTAGGTACTAAAATTAAAAGGACCATACTGGGAAGGCGAGGAGCTAGAAATGAGAAAAGTAACAAATAATAAAAACAGCTCTGTAATTGCTAGAATGTTACTACAAGGGGAAGTTACCCATCCAAACTTAATAATTAGCAAAACCAAAAAACATATATAAGTAATAGAATATAAAGTATCTTTTTCATTTAAGTTCTGGGATACACGTGCAGAACGTGCAGGTTTGTTACATAGGTATAACCATGTCATGGTGGTTTGCTGCACCTGTCAACCCATCATCTAGGGTTTAAGCTATTGTATCTTTTTAATCATGCCAATAATAATACTTTTACCCACTATAATTGATTCATCTACCAAAAATAACACAGGATCCAACGTCAATAACTAAACCCTTTTGAAAACTCAGACCTCCACAAAAATCTTACAACTGAAATGTAAAATTTCTTCAATTCCCTTAAATTTTCACCAGTCTGATATCTACATTTTTAAAGGTGGACATATTAATAGCCTACAGTAGTCAACTCTCTCTAACTGATGAATTCAAAGGGATTCTAATCAAAATGCCAACAATAACTTTTCTAGAAAATAAATTACTTCAGAGTACACTGAGAATAATGAAATATGAATAGTGATGAAAACTCTAAAAATGAGAATTACAAAGAATCTGCCTGAATATTAAGACATATAGATACAGTGAAACCATATGCCACAGTTGCCAAAAGACTCATCAATGGAGCAAAAGACAGTTCAACAACAGACTCAAGACTGTGATAAAATGTAGACACAGCATTTGAATCTGTGGAGAAAAGATAGGTGATTTAATAAATAATGTAAAACAATTGTCTAGCTTTTTGCTAACAACAAAAAAAGGTTCCCTAACATCCCCCATCTTTACATTTTCTTATTAATATGAAAATGTACAACATATATTCAAGTTAATTACATATGGACCAAAATACTAAAAAGTCAAAGATGTAAAATGGGTTGCAAGTTAAGAGGGTCAAGCAGGTAACTAAATGTGTGGATCTGGCTATGTAGGGAACTATAATGAACTGGAAAGCATCAGTGCTTTCTCAGCTTTTTTTTTTTTTTTAAACATCAAGTCTTTGGGGCAAACGGACAAAGCAAATGTCTGTAGAAGGAAATTAGATAGGAGCTCTGGCTGAAGCTGGGGGGAATCAACATAAGGGCACACCTGAAAAGCATTTGATGGCATACCACTTGGAAAGTTCTGAATTAGAAAGCCTGTGTTCTGCTTAAAAGATCTGAAGCTATTCAATTCTGTCTGAGCATTTCTACATGGCAATGTAAGCCCAGGGTTGCTAAATCTTAAATTTTTCATGAGACAATAGAAGACTGTTAGGTAAAAAACATTGGCAGATAATTTCTTTCAGAATTCTTTGACAGGCCAACCAAAACCCATATGTTGACCAGATCTGTCCCACAAGCCACCAGCTTACAAGTTCTGATTAATGCAAAAAATGAAATGGTACAAGCGCCAACAAAGAACACATGCCATTATTTTCACAATCTTGGAGTAGGAGAAACCTTTCCAAGCACAATCAAAGCCAGAATCCATAAAGGACAAGACACTCAACTACATAAAAAAGTAAAACGTATGTGACACCCAACATTATGAATAAACCTAAAGGCAAATGACAACAGTTCTAGCAGAATATGAACTGCAGCAGCTGGGGTCAGTTGTCTTCCCTCTGGTGAGGGGAGAGACTATACCAAGTTTAACAGCCCCACAACGATGACCAGGAATTGAATAATTTCCTAAATAAACCAGAAACGGGGAGAGGTAGGAGAACATTTGGGATGGTCCACAATTGCAGCCATCATCTATTCTGCTGCATTATAAATATTAGTTGAGTAAGTCTGAGTCTACATTTCCTATACTTTAATGTTTTTATTTTTTAGACTAGTCAAATGCAGTAGCAAGAAGAGAGAAAAGAATTCTATCATAAATAGAAATTAAGGCATGGTGTTTGTAATCCTAGCACTTTGGAATGCCGAGGCAGGTGGATCACCTGAGGTCAGGAGTTTGAGACCAGCCTGGCCAACATGGTAAAACCCCATCTCTACTAAAAACACAAAACTTAGCTGGGTGTGGTGGCGTGTGCCTGTAGTCCCAGCTACTTGGGAGGCTGAGGCAGTGGAATCAAGCGAAGATCACACCACTGCACTCCAGCCTGAGCAACAAGAGTGAAACTCCGTCTGTAAAAAATAAAATAGGCCGGGTGCGGTGGCTCATGCCTATAATCCCAGCACTTTGGGGGACCGAGGTGGGAGGATCACAATGTCAGGAGTTTGAGACTAGCCTGGCCAATATGGTGAAACCCTGTCTCTACTAAAAATAGAAAAATTAGCTGGGCTTGGTGGCACATGCCTGTAGTCCCAGCTGGTCAGGAGGCTGAGGCAGGAGAATCACATGAACCCGGGAGGCAGAGGTTGCAGTGATCTGAGATAGCACCATTGCACTCCAGACTGGGCAACAGAGTAAGACTCTGTCTCAAAAAAATAAAATAAAACAAAATAAATAACTAGAAATTATGATAAAAGTAACGATTTAAAAAAACTCTGTAATTGCTAGAATGTTACTACAAGGGATAGTAGTAACATTAAAAAACATTTCATAGGCCAGGTGTGGTGGCTCATGCCTGTAATCCCAGCACTTTGGGAGGCCAAGGCGGGCAGATCATCTGAGGTCAGGAGTTCAAGACCAGCCTGGCCAAGATGGTGAAACCCTGTCTTAAAAAAAAAAAAAAAATTTAATAGTCAGCCAGACATGGTGGCTCACCTGTAATCCCAGTACTTTGGGAGGCTGAGGCAGGCAGATCATGAGGTCAGAAGTTCAAGACCAGCCTGGCCAACATGGTGAAACACCATCTCTACTAAAAATACAAAAAAAAATTAGCTGGACATGGCGGCGCCTTCTTGTAATCCCAGCTACTTGGGAGTCTGAGGCAGGAGAATTGCTTGAGATGGGACCCAGGAAGCGGAGGTTGCAGTGAGCCAAGATCACGCCACTGCACTCCAGCCTGGACCACATAGCGAGACTCCAACTCAAAAAAAAAAAAAAAAAAAGTAATATGTTTTTGGCCAGGCATGGTGGCTCATGGCTGTAATCCCAGCACTTTGGGAGGCTGAGGCAGTAGGATCATCTGAGGTCAGAGGTTCCAGATCAGCCTGGCCAACATGGTGAATCCCGGCTACTCAGAAAGCTGAGGAAGGAGAATCACTTGAACCTGGGAGGAGGAGGTTGCTTGCAGTCAACTGAGATCACACTACTGCACTCCAGCCCAGGCAACAGAGTGAGACTGCATCTCAAAAAATGATGATGATGATAATAATAATAATGATGTTTTTGAATAGCTAGTAGTTTAAATAAAAACTAATCCGTGATAATAACAATTCTTTCTGGATGTCAAATGAGTTATTCTTTAAAACTGCTTCAAAATGTTAATATGATCCCCTCAATCAACACTGATCAATTAGCATATGCAAGAAGGCACTAAACTGTGTGTGCAGAGTTGGAGGGAGAGATGTGAAAGGGACAAAATACAACTATGAAGGAATTCCCTCCTTCATCACTCTCATAATGAGGTGGATTTATTTATTTATTTCAAGCATAGGCTGAACATGTATACACTTGCCCCAAATCAGTGCAATCTTGTTATCTTCAGCACAGCATTAGAATGCTGATTTAGTCATTTAAATTAACATCCACATTTTAAAGAAATGACTTATGAGACTCAGAGACTACTAGATTTAAAATAAAATACGCATCCAGTCCAACAAGTTTGACTTCATGTAGAGAAAACTGAAAATTCAAACATTTTCCTATAACAGTGAGGTCTTAAGTTGCAAAAATGAAAAAGATCAAACTCATTCATTGAAAAGTGGATTATAAAATTAAATATCACCATGTCTTTGAATCAAAGATTCCATGCTTACCTGCTGCCACTGCTGTTGACTCTTTCCGTAAACGCCATTGCTTCCAGTCAGTGGAAAGTGGCAAGTTTGTTCATCTGAAAGAGAAACAAACAGTAGCCTGTGAACATTAGCCTACGAGTAAATTCATGGGTACACATGACCTGTAAGAAACCTTATTGGAGACAGAATTCAAAGTTCTCATTTGAATTAGTAAATGGTTCTTCAATTCCCAAGTTTCATGAACAAACTATCTAGCATATATTAAAGGTCAATTGCACTTTTAACTTTGAGGCTGCTTCTCAAAGCCATCTCGGCAAGAAAACAATATGCACAAGTTACCATGAGGAGGAGGGGGAGGAGGAAAGGAAATACCATTCCCCTGGTGCCTGCTTTGTGCCAAGCATTGTGTTAAATATAAGTAAGCCCTTTTAAAAATGACACTTCATTAATACATTACAATAAAGTTGCAAGGCAGACATTAATATCCCATTTTATAGATAAGAAAATTAAGACTCAAAATCATAAAGAAAAAAAACACAAGAAAATGGAGACTCGGTTTTAAGTAATCTGCCTAAGGTCACAGGTTCTGTCATCATCCTCAATAGAATTAAAAGGAAGAAAAGGTAAAAGTGTCAAGTATGCAAGAGAAAGGAAATCAACAGGTCATCTTCACATAAGAATGCAACACTTAACAAGAAAAGTGGGTCCCGGTAACAACTAGTCTTAACATTTTACTTTTTTACTTCCACTCATAAAAGATACTTAATCAAAAAAATAAAAATTAAAAAATAAACTATTGAGTATTCTCTCAAAACAAGACTGAATTTGGGGGGGGGGGTGGAATTATTGTCCATTATTATCCAATCTGGGCAGCTGGTCTTGGTACTATCTTGTGTAACGCTGGAAACCGTCTCTCTTTATAGTTAACACTGTCTACAGCTGTTTCCTTTTCCCTCTCTAGTGAGTATTTAGAAATTGACTACACTTATCCTAACTTGCATTAGTTTGTTTTACTTTCCAAACATCCTTAAGGCAAAGATATGTTACTAAATTATCTTAGTACAGACTTGACAAACCATTTGATACAAATGGAAACCTATTAAATTTGTAATCATTTCAACTTGCCCCGCTAAGAGACTGTTACAACTTTGGCTGAGGTTGAAACACTGAATATAGTCCTTCTTAGTGCTATTCTTACTCCTGATAAGGTCTTTTATCTTCCTCTCCAGGAAATTTAAACTGCTGACTTGCTAACTACAATGTTTCCATACTAGCAGACATAATTTATCACTCTATCTCCTCTCTCAGAAGACTGTACATGGACGTTGCAAATATTCTAGTTACACTAGCAGAGATCTATCTTTTTCAGGGTCAACATGTTTCAGTCACTCCTCTGACTAGCAATATCGGCGCCCGAGGCAAGTTTTCTCAGTTCTCCAACTCAATCCCCCTCTTCTCCCTCCCCTTCTCTCACCACTTACTATCTCTCACATTCTCCTTTCCTTCTCCAAATCCCTCACTCTACCCCAGCCTGCCTTTACTGCTCACACTTTCTCTCCCTTTACTTGCAGGCACACAGTAAGTGATCAATGAAACACTATTATATTCCTGTTGGCATTATTCTTCATAACACCTCTGTAGAGGCATGGTAGTTCCCCACATGACCCTCCCAATGAAGATGCTCAACCTGCTTACACCTCAACAGCACCCACCCCCCTATGGCTCTTTGTTAGAGAGTGCTAACAGGAAAGGAGGCAGATTGGCCTGTTGGGTGGATATCAATCTGAAAGGGGTCCTGAGTTCACTTGTTTGTTCACTGACTCACAGAACCAGTAAATGTATCCTAAGCATCTGCTCTAAACCAGGTACTAAGAATAAAGAGAGTGGGCCGGATGTGGTTGTGGTGGCTCACGCCTGTAATCCCAGCATTTTAGGGGGCCAGGGTGGGCTGAATGTTTGAGCTCAGGAGTTCAAGACCAGCCTGGGCAACATGGTGAGACTCCATCTCTACTAAAAATAATAAGTAAATAAAGTAGCCGGGTGTGGTGGTGCATGCCTGTGGTCCTAGCTACTCTACTTAGGAAGTTGAATTGTGAGAAGATAACTTGAACCTGGG